GAGAGGTGTCTGCACTCTTACCGGCAGCAGTGCTGGAGTGTGTGAGTGTGTGTGTGTGTGTGTTTGGCGCAGTCATACAGATGCAGTGTGTGTGTCCTGACAGCAGCATGTGAGTGTGTGTGTTGCGAGCAGGTGTTTTCGCCAGGCATCAGAGGGAGGGACACACGCAACCTCCAAACGAGCAGCAGCACGGAGGCGGCCGGACTATTCGCCTTTTTCTTTCGTTTTTTGTTCTTCTTCTTCCTCATCGTGGTCGTGGGAGGCGCTTTCTCCTCTCATCTGCTCGCGCTGTCCGTCATCTGCCTGCTCGTCTATTTCTCCATCTATCTCATTTATAATTTCTCTGATCTGTGAGCGGAGCTGGCGGAGGGACTGTGTGGTCTTACCTCTTCTTCTTCTTCTTTTGTCCTCCTCTTCCTCCTTTGATTGTTTGATTGTAGGTAGGTTGATCTGTGTTCACTGTAGTGTGTGTGTTCTGTTTGCAAACCACACACATGAACACACACACACATGCAGTAATGTGACGTAAAGAGAGAGACGTGTGTCTTACCTCAGTCAGCTGTGTGTGTGTGTGATCACGAACACACATTATAATACACTCACCTGTCTCTCTGCCTGTCTCTCTCTCTTCATTCTACTGGTCTCTCACCTGTGTGTGTGTGTTTGTACACATAAGCCACACACACACACACAACCATCATCTCTGTTCTCCCTGCTCATCTTTCCCTGTCTTTCATTCATTGATCTGCCGCTCTTTATTCATGCACCAGCGCGTGTGTGTGTGTGAGTAATTAATCTGTTCAATAATAGAGAGTGTCATCAGACCACATATAGTGTGCGTGTGAGTGTGTGTGTGAGCCCCTCCATCATCCTCAGTGTCTCTCCGCGGTCGTGTCATATCTATGTCTGAGAGGAATCGCGCTGGATGAGCGTTTGGATGCAGCTCTTCTCTTCTGTTTCTCCCGAGGAGACTCGCTCGCTTCATTCATGAGTCTGGACTGCGCCGCGTTTCCAGATGAGCAAACACACGCGCCTCTTTCTGCTCTTTTACAATTGGACTAAATGCAGAGTGAAGCCGGTTCAG